AAAAATATATCTCTGGATAATGTGTTAGACGGAGAAATAGATAGAATGCAAGATGCGTCGCAGGACGCTTGCGCTACGCCTCTTCATACACACGAGTACGTCCGATTGGTCCCAGTCTACGTACGCTTAGCTTAAGCTATGAATGTATCACTATCGCGCTTGCACTGGTTAGATTCAAGGTGTTACACTGTCGGTCGGTCCGAGAACAACGAGTTGTTGAAACGTTGAAAGCGAAACGCGAAACGCACGAGAGTGAACGAGCTGCGCGCCGCGCGACTGAAGCTCACTTCACACTTTATCCGTTTTATCCATGTACGAGTAAAGTTTAGTCACGTTGTGGACGTCGGGCGGTGCACATCGCGCGCGTTTTATTTAAAAAAAAATACATATCGCGTCTAAAAAAATTAAATTAAACATAAAAAAATATTTTTATTTTTTTATTTAAAAAATGTTTGTGTAGTGTATAAATTTTTATACAGTGTGTTGCAAGAAAATGCATCTTGAATATAAAATCCAATCGGATTATTTTTACACGTGAATTTTTGTGCATAAAAATGAAACGAAGGTGGGCGGGTCAGCAGGGGATGCGCGTCGCCGGCGACGAGAGCTCCTCGGAGGTGACGTCCTCGTCGGCGACGCTGGTCATGTCGCCGGCGCATTCCCTTGCCTCCACGGATATCGCCGATGTGGACCTGGAGTTCTGGGATTTGGATTTGAATAATCCGCAGGGTAATCACGTGCGTGGCATGACCATCATGCAGGCGGGTTATCCACCCGGACAGACTGTTATTAATCTGCATTCGAAATCCGATACCAGTTCGATATCAGGTAAATGCGTGTTTGGTTTTTTTTGGAAAAGGTGATCGAATGCGAAACGATGCATCGAAATGTGCATCGGCAATGAGTGCGATAAGTGTTTATCATCGTGCGAGCGCGGCGAGGCGATGTTTATCGACAGTCTAGACTCGCAGACGGACAAATAAGTCCGCGAGCAGGAAAGCGATTAGCGCACATACAGAGGCATGCAGCGCGACTTGTAGACCTGCTTGGAATTAATTAGTAATTAAATTATTACTATAGGTAAAAATTTTTGGGAAAAAATTAAGAAAAACAAAATGGCGGTTGTTTTTTATTATTTTATGTTTTATTTTTTGTGGGCCGAAAAGTAGAACGGTTACATCATGTAACTGAGACATACATACATATACAGGACCGTATTCAGTAAAATTTATGAAAAAAATGAGTAAAATTTAATTTTAATACGGTCCTGTTAAAATATTTTGTATTTTAATAAAATTTGTCAATTTTTACGACTGGAACATACAATAAAATTCATAAATTAAATAAATAGCCGCCATTTTTACTTATTAAGTGTCCTGGGTAATGATTTCCACAAATCCAGGACCGTACTAAGTATAAACTTTGTGAAAATAATGAATAAAATTGATTTTAATACGGTTCTGATCAAATATTAACCATTTAATTCATTGATGAGTCTATGGTGAGATGCAATGTTTTAATTTTAAACACCGTGTGTGTCCCACTTTCGGCCGACGAAAACGGTGTCACTTTCACGGGTAGACTGGAGCACAAGTTAAGTCAAGAGCGCGTGTACATGCACACGCGCGTAATTTCTTGAGGTCATGCCGGGAAGATGACGTAAGGTGATGGTGAAACATTATTTCATCACGTTTGATCACTTGATTCATCTACTTTTGGATTTTTGGAATTTTTTACCTTATTTAAGTCATCTGCGCATGCGCGTTAGCGCATATTATGCTATAAAGAGAATTTTGGCGCAATTTCAGCGCGGGTTTAGTTAATTAAAGGTGCGAAAAGATGTTGTGCACGTAAATTTTTTAATTAATTAATTAAGCAGGTAATTAATTGTTGTTTTCTTTTGTTTCAGGTAAGTTTCGCTCATTTTTTGGGATTAATATTTCATCAGTGACGGATTACACGCCGGTCGTAAAGGAAAGTTTCGTTGAAATTGTTTTTTATTGTCGTGTGTGCGAGTGCATTTTTCCACTCGTTGGAAAAACAACCGGCTATAAATAGCGCAAAACGCGTACGGGTACATGTCTCGCGACGTTTTTATTTTAATTTTAGTCCTGTTTACGCTCGATGTACTTTTCGCTACCTATGTACACGCCAGACTGACCAAAGTCTATTGACATGTCTAAATTTATATTTATTGCGCATGCGCGGTAGCGCACACATACCACAACACATAGCTACATTGTGTGATTTTGAAAATTTATTCAAACACACTGTATGTGTTTTTAATGCGAGTGAAGCTGGTGTCCGCTGTTTTGTAATCCTAAGCGCGTTTTTGCGCTCACCAGGCGCGCACGTTGCAGATGTCGATGTGGTTGGCCATGACCATGACATTGACGCGACCTCTGCAGGTCGTCGATGCGGATGGGCGCTCTAACGCCGCCGCGACCACGAGACCACATCAGGTGCACGGTGCACGGCATTTTCTCTTGCGCGCCGGCCGCTCTATTCTAATGCCTCTCTTCGTCTTCGTTATTCCTCTGCTTCGCATCGCTGCATTCTTCGCGAAGAAGAAGACTCGTTTTCACACACACACATACATTAACATAACGCACACATGCATAAATCCTCTAACAAAGGAAATAGCATTTTAGATTTCTTGTGGTATTTTGAGGTTAGATTACAAAAATGGCGACGTTCACTTTTTCGTGCGCATCAATTAAAAGCAACAAGTCAGTAGATATGTGGAGTAGTTCTCGACGCGCAGCGAGACTTGACTTAAGTTAAGTCAAGTCGACTTTTCCACACTCTCGCAGCCCAGGCAACTTCACTCTCAGATCGCCGGGAGCGATCGCCGGCCTTGACTCTTAATGCTACACTACACTGCTACATTAGTTTTAACGTTGTTTGTTGTTTGCAGTAAACATGACTTAAGACACATCCACTCTCCGCAACGCAGGAGACACACAGAAAAATCCACTCGGTGTAATCAACATGACATGAGCTTTTGTTTTTTTGTTTTTGACGCGACTATGGCGGCCATTTTGTGTTCTTGCATGATTCATTTGATTCATTTTATTCGTTTTGTTGTTTTGCGCATACAGTGTGTTAAAGTGCGAAACATTGTCGTGCACGCAAGTCGAACATCGATATCAAGGTCGCGCGCGGTGTTAACACTCCGCGGGCGCATTAAATATACGTCGAATGTCGATGGTCGCTCATTTCTCAGCGTGTACAAACACACGAATGCGAGGTTTTGTGTGTTGTGTGTGCGTCGGGGAGAGTCATCGACTTTATGGGCAGTCAGTCACTTGTATGAAGGTCGCACCAATATTCAAACATCAAATGACACATAAAATGCAAATTTAAGTACGGCCCTGGTGGACTTTTCATTAATTTTTACTTTTAAAGCCTTTAAAATGATAGTTTTATACAGGGTGTTGACTTTTTGGTATGCCTTCTTCGTTATTTACCTTTAAATTCATTAAAAAGGGAGATTTTTATACAGGGTGTTCGAGTTTTAACATATTTTATCTTGAAAAAATAATTTCCTGTTTTTTATTTCTCAATTTCACAACCTAAATTTAAAAATTAAGCATTAAAAGCAATTATAAGTACGGTCCTGTTATATTTTAACTTATTTTACTTTTAAACACCTTAAAATAATATTTTTTAATATTTTTATACCGGGTGTTTCCTTTTTACGTTTTTTCTTCTTGATATGACCTTAAAAACTGACTTCCTGGCAAAATATTTCATAATTTTAGTAAAATTTCATAACCTGCGTTTAAATTTTTGCATCCTTCATAATTTTTTTCCTTTCCGGAAAACGTGCCGTGCCGCGCGAGTGCGCGTTGCGCACCAGGTTGAAGGCCACGATTAAACAATTACACCAACACTAACTCACCGGTTATATTTTTGTACTTCGCTGTGTGTGTGTGCAATAGAAAAAAAAAACACAAGAGAACGACGTGTCGAGATCGTTGATATTAATCAACTTGCGCAGTTTACCTTCAACTCCTCGACTTAAGTTAAGTTTCAACTCTTTTTTTTCTTCGCTTGCGCGCTGTTTGCTCTTGTGGTGTGAGAACCGCGCACCGAACGAGAACAATGAGTGTTACGCAATGATTCCCACAGCCGGAACTAAATATGGTTCGTGTAACGCACATCCATTTTACGAGTAGTATTTTGTTATTTTTTGATTCGAGAATGAAATAGTTTTATTTTTGTATTATTTTTGATGGATGAGTTTATGTAACACCCTGTGTGACCATGTGAAAATTGTGTTTTTGATGACTTGAGGTTCTTCAACCTCTCGAACGTTGTGTTTCAATTTTCTTCGGATGGAAATCACCCAATTACGCAATTTCCACATGGCCGCCATTTAGGCACTCGAGAGTAGGTACTCGCCTGTTTATTGCCTTCTGCTTCTGCTCCATTGCTCGTGATGTCCGCGAAATTAGAATCATTACCAACTCAATTAAACTTAACCTTGCCCGCCGCCGCGCTTGTTTTCCCTTCCTTCTTATTACAAGGTGCCGAGATGTCCTTGCTGAAAGCTAATTACATAATTACCGCAGAAGCCACCGACAAACAAACAAACACAAACATGTTTTCAGCTTTTCTTCATTAAATAAAATTTAAAACGGCGAGAAAACGTAAAATATATTCTGGGCGGCCATTTTGTGTGTCACACACGCACCGCGCAACAAAACCGAACCGAACGTAGGCCGATGATATTCCAGTCACGTTTCACGTAAACTTGCGCTTCTGTTTCGAATGTCAACTAGAAAACAAAAGAAACAACTAATGCGGACACACTGTAGACGAATTATTATGCGCATTGAGTTTACAACAATGCCACTGTCATCTTTTATTGTTTTATAGCCTGATAAATAATTCATCGGACGTGCACAACGTTTAAAACATATTTTATTTTATTTTGTTACAATTCACATCAACAGATGGCGCTGGATACTAAAATATCATTTTCTATTGTCTAGGTCGTGAAGATTTATCCCCTAGTAGTTTAAACGGCTACAGCGCTGACAGTTGCGATGGCAAAAAGAAAAAAGGTCCCACACCGCGTCAGCAGGAGGAACTCTGCCTGGTGTGCGGTGATCGCGCATCAGGTTATCACTACAATGCGTTGACATGCGAAGGCTGCAAAGGGTTCTTCCGGCGGAGCATAACCAAGAATGCCGTCTACTCCTGCAAGTACGGCAACACGTGCGAGATTGATATGTACATGCGACGCAAGTGTCAGGAGTGCAGACTGAAGAAGTGTTTGGCGGTGGGCATGCGCCCTGAGTGCGTCGTACCGGAAGTGCAGTGCGCTGTCAAACGCAAGGAGAAAAAGGCGCAGAAGGAGAAGGATAAACCGAATAGCACGACGAATGGCTCGCCGGATATTATTAAGATGGAACCCGAGGTATGCAACCACCTCCTACAACCACTCAAAGTATAACCAAATTCGTCGATTGAGGTTAATTCAATGTTTCTGTAAAGAGTGTTTTCTTGCAGTTGTCTGACAGCGAACGACTGCCGACCGTCAATGGCGTGAAGGCGATCTCGCCCGAGCAGGAGGAACTCATACATCGATTGGTTTACTTCCAGAACGAGTACGAGCACCCGTCCGAGGAGGACGTGAAACGAATCATTGTAAGTTGGTATGTGATGACACTTCGTCATAATGTCCGTGTGTGTTGTTTGTGTTTTTAGAACCAGCCGCTAGAGGGCGAGGACCAGTGCGATGTGCGTTTCCGTCATATTACTGAGATTACGATACTCACCGTGCAGTTGATTGTGGAGTTTGCAAAGAGGTTACCTGGTTTTGATAAGTTACTGCGTGAAGATCAAATTGCGCTCCTTAAGGTATGGACATTTTAAAATTTTGAGGAGAGTGGGGGTTAAGTTATGTTTGGTTATGTTTTGTAGGCGTGTTCAAGTGAGGTTATGATGTTCCGAATGGCGCGGCGGTACGACGTCCAATCCGACTCCATCCTCTTCGTCAACAACCAGCCGTACTCCCGCGACAGTTACAATCTCGCCGGCATGGGCGACACCATTGAGGACCTTCTGCATTTCTGCAGAACTATGTACTCGATGAAGGTTGATAATGCCGAGTATGCGTTACTTACTGCCATCGTTATTTTCTCCGGTAAATATTTCATTTTATTTAAAATGCGGCTTCGCTCGCGAATATCTACTCGTAAAATAATGAAGTTGCTTCTGTACGCGTCTGTAGTCACAGAAGAAGTAACAATGAAGTAGAATGGCGGGAAGTTTAAAATGGCTGAAAGTATAGTCTATGGAAGTATAGTGTACAGTCTCCATAGTGTAGTCAATTGGATTTGATGTTGACGTAGCTGTCGGTAATACAGTGTGATAATACAGTGTGATGGTACTATAGTACTTAGGTTTGAGCTTCATTGCTGGAATGCTAGATGGCGTTAAAGTAGTCAAATAGCCAGATGCAGAGGTATTATTAGCTAAACTATTTCTTTATTTTATTTAAAAAATAATGTTTTTTATTAAATAAAAAGTAGCCTATAACCATTCGGGGACCACTAAGAATATGTGTACAAATTTTCATGATGATCGGTTAAGTAGTTTTTGCGTCAAAGTGTTACAAACATCAGGACATTCGCATTTATAATATTAGTAGGGAAGTAGGGATGAATCAAAATGGTAGGCAACCCAATCTACATCATTTCTTATGTAATTGCTGTAAATGTCAATAAACACAATTTTTAAACTTTTTTTTTTAATTCCAGAACGACCCGCATTAATTGAAGGCTGGAAAGTGGAGAAAATTCAAGAGATCTATCTGGAAGCACTGCGAGCGTACGTGGACAACCGCCGGAAAACAAAACCCGGCACGGTGTTCGCGAAACTCCTCTCCGTGCTCACCGAACTGCGCACGCTCGGCAACCAGAACTCGGAGATGTGCCTCACGCTGAAGCTGAAGAACAAGAAACTGCCGCCCTTCCTCGAGGAGATCTGGGACGTCGACCAGCGGTTATAGTAGCCTCACGGCCAGCGCACGCATGCGCCGCGCGCTTACACGTCTAGGAGCATAAGATATCGATCGATTGATGAAATCGTAGGCTGTGAAAACTAATTCTTAGTAAGGACTCTAAAAATCTCTACACAAAAAAAAAAAAACGATAAACAAAAAACTACTCGAAAACATCCGGTGCGAGAGCGGGGCGGGCATGGCCGCCGCAGAGACGACTATTAGACACTAATACTAAGAACCTAACTGTATGTATTGTATTGTATGTTGCGTCGGTTGAGAGTTTAACCAAGTTTAAGCGCGGTGCGGACAGATGGACACACTGTATGTATAGTAGAAGCAAAGCTGGAAGAGAAGAGAAGAGAGAGGGTCTCATTACGTACGTTATTTAATTTTTTTCATGTGTTTTTTTTTATGATTTTTATTTTCTATTAAGACTGGATCGGACTGATACTAGAAAAAAAAATGAAGAAAACTTACAAGGTGCCTTTCGCAGACTGAGAGAGGGCCACGGATTTTTGTGCAATTTTGCGAGTATCGGTATATTTTCGGCGAGAAAAACACACACACACACGACACTCACACGCAGTAAGAAATTAGGTTAGGTTCAAAACCGACATAACCCCACCGAAACACTCCTAAAAACAAACAAAAAAAAAAACAAAAGAATTGCAACACGTAGACTGAGCCGTCCTAAAAAAATGTAAATATTATTTTAAAACACACTTTTTTATTACCGCAATGGTAACGAAACACACCCATACACACAAAACGGAGCAGTTATAGGGTATAAAAAAAAACCAATGGTAGAAACGAATCGTACTTTGAAGAATCGTACTGTGAAACCGAAGCGTCTTTTTAAATTTTATCGAAGTGGGACTTAATTGTAACCGCGAGTGTTTGACACACGAGACAGAAAGCGAGAGGATTGCAAATCATGTTTTGTACTATATTATATTATAAATATTATACATACCTTTAATCTTAGTGATTGCGCTCGATTGCATTGATGTAAAACCGATAAAAAGTTTATTGCGACAATGACAACAATGCTGTAAGAAACTGTACACTGCGTAGCATGTAAAAACTCACGTATTTTTCATATATATTAATTGATATGAATTTCGCGATCATCCCGCATCGTAGGCATGCATATTTTTCATAACCTCATCTGAACGCCAACCACCTTCATTCTCGTGAGACGTTTGTAACTAGAATTTATTATTATATAGGTTGTTTGGAGCCAGCAAATGCCTTAAACGAAACGAATCCACAAGTGCGGTTAGGTTGCTGCTTGTGGATTGGTTTCCCGGTGAATAACAGACCGTCGACCGCCCGGAAATTCGTTAAAAACACAAGAAATTATAACAAATCGTCATTAATTACTACATAATATATAAAATATTCTATATATATCTATGAGAAATGAAGATGAAACAAATGAATGTACACTATAATATAAACAAAAAAAATTATGCGCATGCGCGGTGGGACAAGTGCAATATTTTCAATTCGACGCCGTATTTTTGTGTCACCGGTTATTACCTCTGATCTATGTGTAGAGGTTATGTTATGGCAGGTATATCGATGTACAAAACGTATAATTGTAAGGTACAAAACAAATTCAGGACTTAACACGTGAAGTTGAAGGAAAAAAAAAACGTTAAAAAAACAAACAATACAATTGTTGAAATAAATATACTACATAATTAATAGATATTAAATGTGTAATAAGAGAAATGCGCGCGTCGACGGTCAGAACACTTTTAACCTCAAAAAAAAACGAAGAAATAAAAATAAAAGCAAAAACTACGCACTGCCGTTGTGAGAGAAGTAAAAAGATGAAGAAAAAAATAATACAACAAAACAAAACAAACATAATACACACTTACACACCGATTGTTTGCCGTTTATTTATCGTCTCAGCGAACACTCATCGTCATCCATCTTTGTCATCATCATCATCATCATCACAAAACAAGATGTCCTCTCATCTAGTCTCATAACGATAACTAGTAATTATGCTAAACGTAAAACCTAAGCGTAAAATACAGTAAGATATACTCTATGGCGATTTAACAACCAGACAACGTGTCCGTGCGTAGGTACACCAATTCGGATTATAGATGTTTGATTTCTTCATTTTGCTGTCGAAAGAATTATTGTAAATTAAACCACACACTGCCAATGTTCATCTCGCGTAGTATACATATTGGACTGCCACGCATATGCAACCCAACATACACACAACACACAACTAACCAACAAATGCTCATCGTGCACGGACACATTCACACACCACACACACACACATGGAGATAATTATAACGAAGAAAAATACTTGTACCAGTTTACGCTGTCTCTATCAACGTCGCAAGCCTCTTAAAACTCTTTCAAAACGAAAAACACACATGGCGGATTGTTTCGGTTTTGTATTTGTATGTTACTGTTACAATCGATGATAACCGATGATAGACAACCAATCAGGCAATCAGAATTCAGTTTTCGTTAACTGATAAGTTTCTACGACACTTTTGTATAACCATTTTCATTCCCGAGCGATGCCGAGGGTTCGACGTAGGCAACCAGGCGATATCACAGCGCAGCCATTTTGTTTCGTGACACACAACCCACTTAAATTTTGTACATTTTTGGATGAGAGGATGTGAGCAGTGAGAGAGGAAAGCATACATGATTGTTTGTATTGTGGAAAACGTGCAATATGTACAAATTTTACTAATTTTACTTTTTTTATATAAATATTCTACGGATAATTAATATTATTACTTGTTTATTATTATTAATAACTGATATGATTGTATATGAGATGATTATTACAAATAATGAATATAAATTAAAACAATTATGTTAAGCAGACGCGCTGAGTTTGAATTTCATGTTATATACTACATAACATATGGTATACAGTGACTACTACTGCAGTATTATGGAGTATTATTCTTTTTAGTGTTTATATTCAAATGTGGTAATAATTGACGACGGGATATTAGTCAGGATGGCCGAGTGGTCTAAGGCGCTGCGTTCAGGTCGCAGTCCACTTCTGTGGGCGTGGGTTCGAATCCCACTTCTGACATTAACTTTTTATTACTTTTTTCTACTTTTTAATATTTTTCATTACTTTTTTAATAATTTTACAACAAAAATAACAATATTTATTAAAATAATCAATATTTTTACGTATTTTAAGTAACATTTTGACAGTTTGACATAAAACAACGTTTTTTTGTGTATTTTTTACAATTTCCATCCATTTTTCCTTATTTTCCGCGTAAATATCGATGACAATAGTATATTCTCACGCGCCTCGTGTTTACAACGCAAGGTGAGCGCTTTGCGCGTTTGTCAGCGCGTTGCGAAAGTCGTTGACGTTTAAAAATAGTCGGCACGGCCACTTTCTGACATCCACCAGCGCCGAGCAGAAGCAGAAGCAACCTGATCAATATACCACCACATCACTCCGAGCGAGGCGAGCGGTGGCGGCGCAGTGTGCGGCTGCAGTGTAGTATTTGTGTGCGTGCGGAACATCGTGGCGTGGAGCTGGATGGCGGCTCTGCTGTGAGAGCGCCCTACAATGAAATGGTTGCCGCCGCCGACGCTCGTCCTGCTGGGCTGCTGCTTGTTCTGCCTGCTGGGCGCCGCGCTCGCTCAGCTAGGTGACCCCTACAAGATCCTTGGCCTGCAGCGGTCTGCCACCCCGGCGCAAATTCGCAAGTCCTATCTGAAACTCGTCAAGGAATGGTAAGCAAATAACACCACAGTCATTTTGTAGTCTCACATAACATTCATTTATTAGAAATTTTGTTGTTTTATTAATATAACCTCTGAATTATTTTAGGCATCCGGATAAATCAGCAGATCCGTCTGCTCAGACGCGTTTCGTTGAGATAAAACAAGCGTATGAGTTGCTGAGTGATCCAGACAGGCGTTTCAAGTATGACCAGAAGGGTATAACTGAAGAACAACTTCACAATCGAGAGTATTATCATTATACACCCACGCCAACGCCCTTTGAGGAACTCTTCCAGAATGGGCACTTTAATTTCCAAGAGAATGATATCACATTCTTTCATAAACTGTCGATTACAACCAGGTAATTCTTTATTTAAATTAAATTAACCTACAAAATTTTATTATTTTCTAAGTTGAATACGTAATCCATGGTTTATAAAATGTATTTATTAAAATAATTGTGTGATTTTCTTGGATTTTACAATTTTGTATGCGAGTTTTACATGTTTCGCCCTGAAACTTCAGTTTCTGATGATGGCCACAAGGTGAAACATGTAAAACTCGCATACAAAATTGTAAAATCCAAGAAAATCACAAAATTATTTTAATAAATACATTTTATATCCTACAAAAACTTAACTTTTATTCTATTGTGTTTATTTTAATATTTTTAGACAATATGATAAAGGTATCCTACCAAAGAGCGCCCGTACACCATTCCTGATATTCTTCTACACGGATTGGTGTTTTCCCTGTCTGCAAACCGCGCCGTATTTGCGAAAACTTGTTGATTATCTGGAACCGCTCGGTGTGAATCTAAATACAGTACATTCAGCTCGTGAACCAAGTTTGGGTCGAAGAATGAATATCCACGGTTTGCCTTGTCTTGTACTCCTTCTGGATGGTAATACCTATGTGTATAAAGATAGCCTGACGAGTATTCAGCGTATAATTGAGTTCATACGTCGCAAACTACCTTATAATCTGGTGCAGAGGATACACGATGGTGAAACTGAAGAGTTTTTGAATGGATGGGAGGATAATCGTGTGCGGGGGCTTATTTTTGAGCCAAGGGATAACATTCGCCTTCGATATTTGATTACTGCCTATCATTTTAGGGATCGTGTTGCGTTCGGGTAAGAAATTTTAACAAAATGTTTGTTTTTATGTTTTTTTTTATGAAATTTTTCTTTAGTTTTGTAGAATCTAATGAAATACGTGAAAGATACCAAGTGTCGCGTGAAATGGACACTGTTTTGCTGTTTAATGAGAATACAACGCGGCCGGTGGCAAGTGTAAGCATGAAGGACATTCCAACCACCACGTTGCATCATATTATTTCGTCGCATCAATATCTTGCGTTGCCACGACTTTCTTCACAGGTATGACTAAATTTTTATTTTTTCTACGTTTTTTATTGTTATTTTTTAAATTTTAGGAAGTTTTGGAGTCGTTGTGTCCATGTGAATGGAACAAACCACGAAAACGTCTGTGTGTTGTATTAGTGACACAAGCATCCAGCAGTCATGATGTGCACAGACAGGCGTTCCGAAGTTACGCGCAGGCAGCGCCCTACAGTGCCGAAAAAGTACGATTCGCGTACATTTATCATGACAAACAGTCGGAGTTCGTCAATTCGTTAATTCCAGGTTAGATAAATACATTTTTAGGTTAATATTTTGAGATTACGTTATGTGGTTTATGTTTTTATGTATAGATGGCGAAGATGTCGAACCAATTCTTCGCATTGTCATCATCTGGCGCATTGATACCACCCATGTAAAATACGAATGGGTGCGTGACAAATGGGAATCCGAGGAGAATTTCAACGATACAACACAGAAACTTGAAACTACCATCAGCCGTCTTCTTAGGTCATCTGAAGCTTTAACATATGAAGCATTCGTCAAGGTAGGCAACCCAACTTACAAATAATGTAAATATATTGATTTTATATAATATTTAAAGGAATTATTTGATGAACATGCCAAAGGCATCTTTGGCCGCATATTTACGAAACTGATTATCATGACGAGCACGATGTATGACAGCCTGGACAAGGAACAATTGCTTCCTGCGTTGTCCATAGTTGGCACTGTGGTGTTTATTGTTATACTTGGTTATGTCATGGCGTATCTAGTCAAGTTGGAGGAGGAAAACGTGCAGAAACAAACGGCGAAAATGGCGAAGGGTAATAACAATAACGAAGCAGGCGGTCCTACTGGTTCCGCTCCCGGTTATCAACCGGAATTAAAACTGCACGAGTTACGCGCTGAGAAGTATAATGGATTGGTGCGCTTATTGAAGCCTGGATGTCGAACAATTCTCTTGGTTTTGGACATGCAGTCGCGGCAGACGCTCATTCCGCCGTTTCACAAAGCCATGTGGCCTTACAGGAAGTAAGTGTGGTTGCGTCCCTTTGTTTGTCTAGCACGCATTGCGCCATAGTTGTAACCTCACTGTTTTCGTTCGTTTTAGTTCTCGTTCTAATCTAGTGGTGTTCTAGTTTAAGAGTTCTTAATACTTGCATTTTGAAGTTTTTCCTTTGTTTCAGAATGTGAGTGCTTTTCGTATGTTTTGGTATTTGATTATATACTTGCGGTGGTGGGTTAGGGGTTAAGGGGCGTGGCTAAACGGTGTGTTTTTGTTTGCGCTGTTCGCAGGAATAAGACGCTGATGTTCTCGTACATGTTTGTGGAGCGCGGGCTCAGCTGGTACAAGGAAATTCTGGAGCTGTCTCTACCCGAAGGCACCGAGTTGAATATCAATCCGCGTAACTGCGTGGGTACCGTACTTTCACTCAATGGACACCGGAAGTACTTTTGCATGTTTCACGCCAAGCATACCGAGCGACCTAAACGGATAAAGGTGCGTTTGTTGATTGTTTGTTTTAACAAATGCAAAATAATTTTATGTGGGGAATTTTTAGGCCAATCAAAAGTCGACCAAGTTTGAACGCGACCCGGAAGCGGGACGTTTTCTTGGTTTCGATACGGACTCGTCCGAATCGGAAACGGACGAAGTACTGCTGCAGGGTAACCTGCTCGATGGGTTGCCTAACTGGTTGGATCGGCTCTTTGAGGGCACCACCCATCGCTATCACATCAACTATTGGCCCGACTTTCCCAACAAATGATCGCCGCGGTCTTGGTTTGTGCATTTTTTTCAGTTGGCGCATATACCGATGCGCCTCGTAAGGTAAACTATTAAGACATATACGCCCCATTTCTACCCTCCTCTTCCTCGCCAATTCGAGTGGATTCATATCTAATACGACCGCGATGTTGAATCGATACAAATTTTGGCAGCTACGTAGAAATTCTTTACATTGCACCTCTATCTCGAGTATTGTGCACACATCATACAGCATTCATGCAAGCATACACAATTTGGGACTAAACCTAACCTAATCCTGCGTTAGGTGAGGTTATGTGGCTCTCTAGTCAGAGGATTCAGAATGACCGAGTGTAAACTAATGGTATAAATTTAAGGTTAAGTTTCTAGTGCTAGGTTAAGTAGGGAAATGAACAATCATCACATACATACTTAGACAAGACACACACAAACATACATACGTTGAATTCATTCTCAGTTTTCATTTGATTTTATTTATTGCATCCACACACACACACACAGACAATTCGACATTTCGTAGTTAGTTTTAAAGGATTGTTAGTATAAAGCCTTATTGAAACCAAATGAACAAAATTCGAGCGTAAAAATCGTTGAAAATTTTTTACTCTATCGTATGCGCCTACGCAGGTCACGTTGATCTCGCCGGCTTGCGTTTCGATTTTATTGATGTTGATGATTATCTTGATATAAGTCCAGAAGAAAATGCAAACCAACCCTGGTGTAGTGTATCCGACTTGTAACTGATAATACTTGATATACTGATAGTGAAATTTTGTACATTACTAAACGGTTCACATATTTAAATCTTCAACCAAACTAATAAAATGGAAGCGAAATATAATCTAATTATATATTGATTACATATATATATTGATAGTTTAAAACGCGTTTAAAGATAAGCATACGAATTAGTCTTGCTTTTACTTTCGGACATCAGTGAAGCAGCGTGTAGCAAGACAACACGGCACGCGAATTTTTCAAATATTGTATATTACATGAATAAAAAACATTGAAATGATTAAAACGGTGCAGGTTTTCCTTTAAGTCATGATATATTACGATAACTGAGTGCCCAGACCCGCAAAAAGTGGTGGGGGAAATTGTGCCCACAAGGGTTACATACTGCGTTGTGCGCGAGGGTGCAAACTATTAGTACCTGGGGCAAACAGATAAGACGGGGAATTAATTTCTCACACGGGTGCCTGATTGATTAACAAATATAATTATGTATAAAGAACTGAAAGTTGCGTATCTTAAGGGGTATTCTACTCTAGAGGCATGAATTTCATGTGATTTTGAAAGGCCGTAAAAAATCTATGAAGAGTTTTACCATCCATTTTTAACACTTATTTATTAATGTTTTGAGAATACAGAAAAAATAAAAATTGAAAAAGTTCAAAATTTTAAATTCCAGCAGGTGATAAAGTGGGGGTCCCAAAAATTGGCACGTGACCGTACCCATGATTTTAGCCCTCCAAGGGATATGAAATGAAAAAAAAAGATTGTTAATCTAGAAAAATGTCGCAATGGAATGAACTACGGACAAGTGAAAACATTTTTTTTTACAAAATGGCGACTGTTTGAAAAAAGTGATTTTTTCACCCTTGTTTTTGATATACTAGATTTTTTGGAATAATTAAAATCGGAATTTAGGGATAAGCGTAGTTCATTCTAAAGAAAAGTCTATAAAGAAGACTCTATAAAAATTTCAAGTAAATCGGTTCAGTAGAAGTTGAGGAATCGTGGGTACCGTCTCAAAAATACAGTTTCGAGAAAAACACGTTTAAAGTTTCGCGTCAATGCGAACCAGTATGGATGCCGCGTCACCAAAACGGCTATATCTCGGAAAATATTTTAAATTTTGAAAAATCCTCTTGTACACGTATTCTTGAATAGTTAAACTTTGAAAATATCAAAAAAATCGATTTTTGAAATCTCTAGAGTAGAATACCCCTTAATGTACAGGCCTAGTGTACTGCGTGATCGTTGGCCTTGAAAACAGAAACGCGCGCGTATGTTGCGCACAACTTGTGCGCGCTGCAAGCACCTTCGGCGCACGCGACTTGAGTTGAGGTGGCTTAGCCGCGTGCACTGTTAGTTTGCCTGCACGCGTTGCTCGGGGCGCGTCGCATCGTTTCTTTTATCATCTGTGTTTTACTAGAATTATTTTGACTTCGCGCTTATCGAGATTTGTGTTTGTGAAAACTTGTAATTCGCCACGTCTTGGAAGCGGAATTCGATCAATAGTTACAATCCAACATCGACGGCATGTGCTGGCTGCAAACCCCATGGACATCAATTAATATTTGCCATCATTTCACTGGTAGGTACAATTGAATTAATATTTTCTTTTGATTTTTCATTTCTAATTAACTTTGATCTGGCTATTGAATACGGCGTATTTGGTCGTTTTATATTCCCCTCGTTCGAGAATATTTCAACATTATGAATATTCGCTAGTACACACAATAGAATTGTTGTCGTTTTTGTCTCTGCGCGTTTATCAATGTGTGCCCCCGTGCCGTTACAGTATTCAAGCGTGAATTTATTGTTTACATTAGTTTCTAACTTGAAGGAAAGTTTTCTACAGTCATTATTTTTGACGATTTATTTCTATTACGAATATCTCGTAAACTAAAAGAGATAATTAAGAACGAATCTCAGCGCCTTAATCTACGGACTATTCCTGATGTCGTAGGACAATGTTTTTTTCACCAAATTGTAGGTACTAAAATTCTCTATCGTTTACGTATATAACATGTGGGTTTATCCCTTGGGAAACCCACGAAAATGCCCTTTTTCTGTTTTTGGTTGTCTAATTTTTGGTGTTTTAGGTGTTTAGCGGCCGAACCTGATGTCGTAGGACAATGTTTTTTTCACCAAATTGTAGGTACTAAAATTCTCTATCGTTAACGTATATAACATGTGGGTTTATCCCTTGGGAAACTTACGAAAATCCGGGGTTTTTCTCTCTTTCTGGTTGTCTAATTTTGGGGTTTTAGGTGTTTAGCGGCCGAACCTGATGTCGTAGGGACAAATGTTTTTTTAACCCAAATTGTGTAGTACTAAAATTCTCTATCGTATATAAGGCGGGTTTATCCTCTTTGGGAAACTTACGAAAATGTCCTCTTTCTGTTTTTGGTTGTTCCACTTTTTTGGTGTTTTAGGTGTCTAGCGGCCGAACCTGATGTCTTAGGATAACGATTTTTTCACCAAATTGTGGTGGTACTCAAAATTCTCATCATTTACGTATATAACATGTGGGCTTCATCCCTGGGAAACCTACTGAAAAATGCCCTTTTGTGTTTTTGCCACCAATTTTTGCCGCCAGGCGTCTATGGCCGAACCAGGCACCGTAGGGACAACGTTTTCACCAAATTGTAAAAATGTTCCCTTTCATTTACGTATATAGCGGGTTTATCCCTTTAGGAAAACCTACGTAGTAAATTTTGTGTTTTTGTTGTCTACCTTTGCCGTTTTAGGTGTCTAGCGGCTGAACCAGGCACCGACAACGCCTTTTCACAAAACACAAGCACTAAAATTTCTTTCATCCACCTATATACGGGCTTTATCCCTATAAGTAAATTCCTACGAAAATGCTCCTTTTTGTGTTTTGTTGTCTAATTTTTGCCGTTTAGGGTCTAGCGGCCGAACTCAAGTATCGTGGCGACAAACGTTTTATCAATTAAATTGTAAGTAATAAAAATCTCTTCATTTACGTATATATAACATGTGTTTATCTCCTTGGGAAACCTACGAAAAATGCCCTTTTTGTGTTTTTGTTGCTCATTTTTGCTGTTTTAGGCCCAGCGTCAAACTGATATCAGTTTACAACGTTTTTCACCAAATTAAGTAATACTAAATTACTTACGTATATAACATGTGGTTTATCCGGGGAAACCCTGGCGAAAATGCCTCCTTTAAAGTTTTTGCTCTTCTTTAATTTGGCTGTTTTAGGTGTCTAGCGGCTGAACCTGATGACGTAGGACAACGTTTTTTCACCAAAGCAAAAATTAAAATTCTATCATTTACAGTATATAAATATAGTTTATCGCTTGGGAAACCTACGGAAAATGCCTCCCTTTTGTGCTTTTGCTTGCCCACCTTGCCGTTTTAGGTGTCTAGCGGCTGAATCCAGGCAACGTAGACAACGTTTTTTCACCAAATTGTAGGTACTAAAATTCTCTTTCATTTACGCGGCAACATGGGTTTAACTTTGCAAAACCCGCTAAAAATTAAAAAAACAAAAGTACGGTTATTTAATTGCTACAAATCACAAACTTCTATATTGCGTTGTTGTTTTCAACTTACAACATTGATTGCTGGCTCTAAACTCTGGGCTGGCGACAATTCTCGTTCTTGTTTAGCCCGGCTTAGTCGTTCGTGCGCCGTGCGCAACGTTTGCCCTGAATCAACTTTCGCATACTGGCGCCAAAGCGACCGCACTCTGTCAGTTGGGTCTGTGCGTATTGCTTATGTTATTGCACGCTGCCGCGCTACCAACGGATTCATTATTGGTTCACTGGTGCGCGCGTGTGTTCACGACATTCAGTTATCGTTTCACACACAAGAATAACCTTTGATTTAGAATTCAATTCCTGCAAATGCTGTGAGTACCGTCAGAGTTTGCAATATCTCAGCTGGAAGTGTTGGAGATAAGGGTATTTTAGGGCAAGTTTTTACTACCCATAATGTTCTAACTAGTTAATTTATTTTATTTAAAACGTCTATTATTATTGTTCCTACAAAACATAATGTACCGGCGTCTCACCCTACATTTACCATGGCAGGTCCTATCACCGTTTCTGGTACGATGGTCCTTTGGCGCACATAATATTTGTGTTGTTGCTTTTAAAAAGTTGAATGAAGTAGAAAACATAAATAGAAGAACTGTAAATATTAATACTAAAAAAACACTCGGTGGTCGAGTACGTGCACCTGCTAGCAGACACGGACCAAATCCTCAGGTATGGGAGGCATTTTTCAAATATAAAAACAACAGGTGTAATTTAAAGGTATGTTATATGAACTGCAAACGAATGTAAGAGAAATTCGCAAATACAGCGGCCATGAGTAGCGAAGCGTAAGTAGAGAAACGGTTGAGAAAATATAAGAAGACAAAGGAGTGTGCAGAGAAGAGAAGATAGGAAGAAAGAGAACAGGGGTACTTTACTCTTTAAATTTTTGGCACGTGTCGCTTATAAGACAGTCAGCCGACGCTCCACCGCTTCCGATGCGTCCATCATTGCTCCTGGCCCAACCCGCGAAGCCATGATGTCTCTGCGGTGCTTCATCCCCTGAACATTGTGGCATATCAACAATTTTTATGGTGGGGATCACCCCCGAGAGAGGGAATCATATAAGGACAATCCTTATATGTCTTGTAAAATATTCTGCTTGCCGCCTAAATAGAGGTGCGTGACACTTAAAAAATATTCTTACTCAGTTCTGGCCCAGCTGAAATGAAAGAAGGAGCATACAAATCATATATATGCCCAAAACAATTTTTATAGTGGGATCATCCCCTGAGAGAGGGAACCTTTTTAGAGACTCAGTTCTGAAATGATAGAAGAGGCACACAACCAAATATATTTCAATATATCAGTATAAATATGTCAGCCATATTTTACTATTTCTTTGCCAACAATAGAATACAAGTTTATATTTTTACAAGTCAACAGAATATGTCGCCGCTATTGAAACATGACTTACGACCTGCATTGCGCATATGTAAAGCAAGTTTACCGCACACGGATAAAGAAAATAGAAAAAATAGACCATTTTCTACGTGAGCAGTGGGAACAAATATACAGGGGTGTTAAGCAAAAGAAATTCAAAGTGCAAAGAAGAAAAAAACCGCTCAACAAACGCAGCCAAATTTTCACGGACAACAAGAAAAAAAAATATAAGCAGGGTGATACGCAAATTACTACATCACAAAAAAGAAAATCATACAGTACAAAAAATAAAATAATCGGGAATACAAATTTAGAAACTTATAATAGGGAAATCAAGAAAACAATCATCATACAGGGTGATACAAACAGGAAAATTCCTAAATTTAAAAATAAAATAGCAAAGTTTGGCGCAGAAACGACCCAGAAAAGCCCACGTAAAATGTAGAATACCACAATTAGAACGCAAGGTGTAAAGTAGAACATAGGGTGATACAAGAAGAAAATTTCTGCTACATTTCCACAGATATATTACAAATATTTTGCAAACAGTGTCATTCCCCACAATTAACACCTGCCGCCGTTATTGCGCCAGGTACGGTGCTGGTAAGCTGTCGCTTGTGTTGTCGTAACTATGCCTGCTCAGATGTGCGCACCACTTCGGCGCGATCATCGCTGCGCCGTTCACGCGATTGGAAATCCGCCTTTGCTATTTTAGTGCATTATTTTAAGAAATAACTTGGTTACTGGCGTAGCATATAATTGTGTATGGAATAAAGAGATGATTTATTTTAAATTGTGAGATTGAAACGTTGAAATATATTCATAACTTCAATCTAATGTAATCCGGTGTGCGGTGTGAAGCCTGACGCTAAAAGCGTTCCATTCTCGCGCGACGCCCGTCCAAACCTGAAGTTGTTTTGAGAGGTTATAAACCCGCGGGCGAGCGAGTTTGATTGGCCGGCCATTCATCCCCAATCCAGTGGGGTGCTGATGCGGTAAACTTACCCGCTGCCGCCTCTAACTGCAACCGCAAATTCGCTGGAGTTCAGAACTGCTTCCAAGACACTTTTTAACGGAGTATGTTACATTGTATTTGAATAATTTTTATCACTCTATCAATTGAATACACTGTATTTCATGGCAAAATATATCACCGTTAGAGAATGCGAGGTCGTTAATTTACGCAAATGAAAATGAAAACACGAAAATGATACGTTCCTCATAACAAACGGCACAATTACGCTATGAAGTTCAACCGCTGCCATTATCACAACCACCCCACTGCAGTTTTATTCCGCCGCAAAACCGACATAACGAATTCCCGAAAGCGACCGGTGGATGCAAACATGCACGCTACTACGGACACAGGTGCGACCAAACTGATAACGGACGCAAACAAACAAGCTACTTCTTATAGCACGGTGCGCGGATCACACAGCGCAAATAGCACATCTAGCGGAGAATTCAGCTGGAAATATATTTACGTAATTAGCTTTTACCCGTGGCTTCCGCTCGCGAATATCTAAATTCAGCTAAATTACAAAAACAGTAGAGGGCGTTAGTGTAATATATATCATAAATACTTGGGATTTAATTTCTGAGCTTCTTAAAATGGCGAAAACCATAAAACTTGATTTTTAGCCTTAAAATTGTAAATTTACAAATATTTCTTTCAAATTTAAATTCCTTTGCCTTTAAAATCTATTTCTAAGGTATTACAAGCTGCAAATTGAGTTGCATAACTTAAAATTATAGACTACTAGGCTTAACTCCAGGCTTCGCCTGCGAATATCTAAAAATAATGAAGTTGCTTCCGTACGCGTCTGTAGTCACAAAAGAAGCAAATAAATGAAGTAGAATGCTGGAAGTTTAAAATGGCTGAAAGTATAGTCTGGTGGAAGTACAGTGTGCCGTCCAGTGTAGTCACTGATTTACGTTGACGTACGCCGGTAATACAGTGTGATGTTACGCAGTGTGATGTGGTACTATATATAGTACTTAGGTTTGAGCTTCATTACGAACGCTGGCGTTAAAGTAGTCAAATACGTGATGGCGTATTATTACAAATATTTTCTGGTTTGTTTTAAAAATAAATGGATTTTATTAAATAAAAGTACGCAACCATTCGGGGACCACTTAAATATGTGTACAAACTTTCAAGCGATGATCGCTGCGAAGTTTTGCGTGAAAGTGTAAATGCAAACATCAGACCGCATTTACAATATTAGTAGGGATACAAGAAGTGAGCCCTTCCTTCATTGCCGCTTGGCTTTAATAACGCAAACAAAATGCATAGTTTTGAAATTCCTGCGCAATTGTTATTAACAAATATATAAACTTCCCGTGATATCTTTAAATACTATACATTCCACGCGGCTTACCACTCTAAATAATTTATAAAAATGCCGGAAATGTGAAATCAAGCAGCACTTCCACGTGTTTCTTCCAAAAATTCCCCACTTTTAACGCACTCAACTCAACAAATTAAAACTACTTTCACTCGTGGCGGCTCGTTTTCATCCTTCGACGTGCCGTTGAAAGAACGAAACGCCGTAAAACAAATCGTGTTGCGAAACAAGCAAGCACGACCTTCGCCGCAGCTCTGAGCGTGTGTGTATAAGTTAGCCGGGGCCTGCATCTCGCCGGAAACAAATGTCACGATATAGATCTACTGCAATTGTGGAATTTTGTTTGCACTTGCGAAATGCCTTGTTTTCTAACTGTTGGGTTATAAACAATTGCTATAAAACAGAGTACAAACAAAGCGTCCTGAAAATTCCAAGCGTGGTTTTTGCCGCCTTGGAATTATCTGCTGGTACAGCCAGCCCAAAAGTATGCACCCAACGGTCTGTATAAAGTTTCAAGTTTATTATGCATAGTTCTGCCGTTTCGGCGTTTATTCTGAAATAAGTCGAATACAAAAATAATTCAAATATTAACAATAATTATGAGCCAACAGAGAGACAACCCTTTGGCCTTTACCCGTCATGAAGCACCAAAAAATCTCCCCACAATCCGCCCTATCAACTTGGACGTTTATTACGCCTAAGTCGACAATTTTACCACAGCATACCTACCAAGCAACCCAACACAAAACCTAACCTATAAAATAACCTATTTCATTTCAAGCAGCGCTACGTTCCACAAACGCATAATTTTGTCAACAAGATGGCTGCCCACCTCGTAATCTACAACGGTGATTGGGAAATTAACGAAGGATGGCTAGAACAAGGTCAACAAATCTACGAATACTATGTCGGTCGCCATGTTTTACACCGAGCATCGTTTCTATGGCAAATCTATGCCCACAACTGACTTCACCTCCGAGAGTCTTCGTTTGTTACACAGTAGCCAAGCACAAGAAGACCTCAAAGGGTTTATCATGATGTTAAAAGAGTTTGATCGCTATAAGAATAGTAAGGTTATGTTGTTTGGTTGTTCATACGCCGGTGGGTTAGTCGCATGGATGAAACAAAAGTATCCCGAGTTGATTCAAGTCACTTATTCTACCAGTGGACCATTCTATGCTAAAGACAGTATGTTTGGTAAGAAATCAAGAGTAAATTTCAAGTTTAAACAAAGATAACACCCTGTATATCCTTTAGAATACCTTCAGGTGATTTCACGTGTGATTTACAACCTTCCAAACATCGGAAAACAATGTTTCGATGGTTTATTTTATGGAATTCAACAATTGGAGCAGGAGTATGACAGTGGGCCAGAGGGCGCTGCGTCTGTCATCAAAAAATTAGGGTTAGATACCAGTTTAACCTCAATTAACAAATTTTTTGAATTTTTGTTTCTTTTATGATGTTTAGGATCTGCCCACCTTATGACCCTAAAGGAGATTATGACAAAGCAGCAGTTTTTCAAACATTCGGTGTAGAATTCGGTAAAATGGGCCTGGAAGATCCCGAAAAACTCTCTAACGCATGCAATAGGTTAATAAACGCTACAGGTGAAACCTACGCTGAGAAATTTGTGAATTACCGTACAAATGGTACAACACCCATTTTTTGCTACCACACTGTTGATTATGATTCAACTGCTGCGCGTTGTGCGGATACTTCATTGAATGGTAAAGAACGTCCATGGTTTTACCAACAGTGTAATGAATTCGGATGGTTCGTAACCACCGAAACCAATACACAAGTATTTGGTAAAAGTGTTCTTCCCTTTTTCTATCACCAATTGTGTAGAGATGCTTATGGAGCGACGTAAGATATCTGAAAACACCCTGTATAAAAATGGTAACTGAGATTATGTATGTTCCAGGTTCACCGATGAGAATATTTTATTAGCACAGGAGAATACTAATAAGGTTTATGGTGGTTATACTCCAAATGTAAGAAAATCTGTGTTTGTTTATGGTTCCAGTGATCCATGGGCCCCTATGGGTGTCCAGGAGTCTTTGAATGATGAAGCGTTAACGTTTTACATTCAAGGTAACTAATTTTATCATTTTTTCTAAAGTAAACATTTAAAATTTGTATTTTGAATAGGTGGGGGCCATTGTTCGGATATGTTCCCCCAAAGTGACGAAGACAGTGAATCAATGACATATGCCAAGGTCAACTCACGTGCCTGGGTGAAAAAATGGTTGTCAGAGGATTAATATGTATCTATTTGATTCAAATAAAGTAAAATAATTATTCCAACGTAATTTGTTTGTGAAATATTCAAATTTTTGTAGTTACCAATGTTAATCTCCATAAGGAGGCGGAGCTTACGATTGCCATCATACATAGATTACTATTTGAAAATTACTTGCATAAATTTTCTTTATCGCGGCATGTTTCATTCTTATTATTCGACATTGGTATCTAACATATTTTAAAATAATAATCAACTTGTTTTGCCAACAATTTGTTCATTTTTTTATTGTTTATTTTAAATTAATTGCATGTTTTTCTATAATTAATTCTTTATTTCCATTGTTTTCTTCAATCTGTATTATTTTATTGCCAAATGCAAACACGTAGAAATAAATATTATAAATTTATAACCATGAATGAAGTATTGAACAACGAAGACAAATTTGTTAATTACTTCAAGTATGTTGTCATGACATGTTATGCCACACGTCGGTACTGATAACTGATAACACCTGAATTTGATTTGTTGCAACTAGTATAAATAGTTTACTCAAATATGGATTTGAACAGTTTTTGGTTTACTGTTAACCAAAATGAAGTTGTACGCCATTTTGTTACTGGTGCCATTTTGTTTTGGTGGCATCATCCACCCAGAAGATAGTTCTCAAGATGAAACTTCTCCTGAATACGACAACAACGCTTCCGAAGATGAAAATTCTTCTGAATATGAAAACCGCACTGTAAAACATAACCGCAATTTTTTAATTGTTTTTATAAACACTTTGTATGTTTATAGATGATTCCCGTAAGGGGAATTATTGATAGGCCACCAACATTTCCCGTAATGCGTAATTCTCAAGAACAATGGTCGTATGTAGTCTCAAAAATTGATAATTTTAACGCAAACTCTGGTACATACAGACAGGTATATAAATAATAGCAGATAAACCACATTGTATGTATTTATAACCTCAAATATTTAATTTTACAGAGATTTATCTACAATACACAATTTGCTAAACCTAATGGTCCTATTTTCGTTTACGTTGGTGGTGAATGGACAATCGGTGTTGGTTCCCTTAGTTCCGGACAAAACTTTTCGAGATGGCGCGTGAGAACGGCGGCGCCATGTTTACCTAAGAACACCAGATTCTACGGAGAAAGTATTCCCACAGGTAAAACACATTTAAAACCAGCTTTTCATTATGGCAATTATTTTCTATTATTATTATAGTGACTTAAGTACAAAGAAACCTTTTGCAACACATTCAAGTCGTCAAGCAATCGAAGACATCCGCCAGTTTTACAATTGGTTACGCACTTCTAGATACTACCGCAGTAAAAGTAGAAAAACTTGTGTCTTGATGGGTTTGTTCATACTCTGCATCTACTTTCAATGTTTACCAAACAGATTTGCGAATATGGTCACCGCAATTAGCCATGCAACCAGTGGACCATTACTTTCTGCACGATATATCGTAAGTTAAACTAAGAAATTGAATATGATTGTAATATTTGGTGGTATACGCTGATATAGAGTGCGGTAGGCATACTTACATTCGAAAGAGTCAACCCACAAATGTAGCAAAATATCATCCTGGAAGCGCAATCAAACCACTTGCGACTTATGTACCTCAACGGACAAAGACCGTCTACATCAATTGATATATTAGGTTTGGGGTTTTCTTTTGACAAATTTATCCTTTACAAACACTTTGTATATCCAGGGTGTGCGATCATCTCAAGTCCAGGAGGAACCTTTTGGACGGACCGCGCCGCGTTCTTCCTGCGTTTCATTTTGTTTGTGGCTGTGGTCCAAAGTGCATCAGCACCGTGACCTCTCAATGTCAACCTTGACCAACTGTGAGGAACCGCAATCTGGATAAATTCGTTTCCTGCTTTCCAGCGCGTGTACTTCGGGTGTTTGCCCATCACTTACCTGGGTTCCTCAACAGCACCAACAAGGACCAATCTTCTAGGTCATGGTTTATGGCAACAGTGTAATGCTGAATTCGGTTGGTTTATGCGCACGGTAATAACAAGGTTATGGATCATCTGTGCGTCCATCAATGCTGCCTGTCGGGCGGTCTTTGGTAACGCAGGACAATCAGATGCACAGTTGAATGCAAAATAACAGCGACGGCTCAACTACAATGTTGTGGTAAGGGGGCGGGGCTTAAGAATATCGCATTCTTGTACTTAGTTCGGATGATCCATAGGCACCTATAGGGGTATAATATATGTTGCCCTAACTCTCTGAACGTCGCGCGTATTGAAGGTGGTGGACATTGCTTTGACGTAATAGTTCATCTGCTAGTGATTCGGCGGCATGCTGATACTAAGAGGCAACCAGGGGGCATTGATTAAACAATGCGGACGCAATAATTACAAGAATAAACATGGTTTTGATTTATGTTTCATTTTGCACTTTATTTACATAGATGCTCCATTGCTCCCACGGCCCAACCTACAGCTACGATGTCTCTGCGCTAAATCCCGATTATCGGGCATATCAACAATTTTTATGAGGTGGGATACTTTAGAGAGGAACTCGCCTGGGGACGATACCTTATAAGGTCTTGGCTCTAAGTTTAAGTCGCCTCAAGAGGGTGACACTTAAAAAATATTCTTACAACGACCTGTAGCTGAAGCTGAAGAAGGAGCACACAAATCACACAGGATGCCTTAACAATTTTTGTAATTGAGGATCATGCACTTGAGAGGAACTTCTCTTAGAGACCTGTTCCTGAAATGATAGAAGGGTACACAAAATCCAAAGAAGTCAATATATTTTTGCTATTTCTTTATTAACAATAGAATACAAGTTTATATTTTACAAGTCAACAAATACTCATTCATATATTAGAAACAGGACTTGACCTGCATTTACTGCTACCCACTTATACCCAAGCAGGATTACTGCGCCATAAGGGATAAAGAAATTAGGAAGTAGACCATTTTCTACATTGAGTGAAAGTAATGGGAACAAATATACAAGGTGTTACATATAGGGTAAAGTGCAAGAAGAAAAGCCACAAAACAGCAATAAAGCTAAATTTTCACGGACAACAAGAAAAACAAATATACAAGGTGCTACAAAAAGGAAATTACTACATCACAAAAGAAAAGAAAATCAAATTGTACAAAAAAGAAAATAGTCAGGGAATACAAATTTAGAAAACTTATAATAGAATCAAGAAAAACAAACATACAGAATTGATACAAACAGGAAATTCTGTTTAAAATAAAATACAAAGTTTAGGTAAGAGAAGCATTTAGGGCGATAAGAGTATAGAACGCAGGTAAAGTAGAGACAAGAAGCAAATTGCTGCATTTACAAATATATTACTCTCAATAATTAATTTACTTAGCAAACTACGAAAATACGTTAGGCGGCAGATTTATGAAATAAAAATAAAATGCAACAAAAGGAAAATTTCACGTTATTAAACCGATGACGTATTGCCTCTACGGGTGAATCAGAGTCGCATCCGACGGCGCATCCAATTTTGTGTTGTTACGGTATTCACGTAAGCCTTGCATTTTAGATAAATATGAAAGTATAATGTAATAACGTTTACAAACTTACACACCAGGGCATCAGGTAATCTTAGAAAGTACTGAAACAAAAAGCAACACGTGTGTGAGAACTCGCACTATGAGTACTTACTTATTTAAATTTGTTTGAGGGATAATGAACCTGTACTATTTTAACACACACAATTTTCCCGGAATATACTGCCAAGGACAGTCGTTAATTACACTTACTTAAAAATTACGAATAGGATACAAATTTCTAAACCAATTCTTAACATCAAAAACAATCAGCCCGACACGCACATGGAAACACCAGTTTTATAATCAATCATTTTACGCATGTAAAATCATTCTTAGCAAAACAATCTCTACATGTCTGTTGTCATTAGATTTTGATTAAGGAATGCTCATTTTTAATCAATAATAAAGTATGTAATGTAATCGGAATGAATGAAGAATGATGCCGAGCCACACGTGCAGGTAAGAACGGGCCCAAGCGGTCCGAACGTTCTGGCATGAGAGGCGCATTGCACGTTTATAGCGATATATAAAAACTTGTTTATACACAAACCCCCGTTGCGTATGATTTAGAAATGTACATTTTTGGAAATTACGCTGGAAGTAAATAAAAATATAATAATAATTCATTACATCGGTTGTTAATTTCAGCATTCCCAGTTTCGCGCGTTATACTAACAGAAACTACGAAGTACTACTATTGCGTATATGCGTATACACAACTATCATTATAACTCGCGTTACACCAATTTCTCGCAATAAATTTATTTTACTGGGGAGATTAAAATTAAATTCTGCTTCTGGAGGTGAAAATCCCGAACCTGAGTTTAAGACCGCGTTCGCGTGATGTTATAATATTGAAAGTACAATTCCTAAGCGCTACGGTATTGTGCGTATGTGCGTATACACACAACTATCGCTATAACAGCGTTACCGGAATTTTCTCACATAATGGAGATTCAATACACAGGGAGATTAAAATTAAATTCTGCTTCTGGAGAATCAATCCAAACCAAGTTTAAGGCCGCGTTCGCGTGTTATAGCTATTAAGAAAGTACAATTCCCTGGCGCTACGGTATTGCGTATATGCGTATACACAACTATCGCTATATAACTCGCGTTGCAGAAGGGCTTTTCTCACAATAAATTTAATGCAGGAGGTTAGAATTAAGATTTAAAGCTGCAAATTAATCCAAAACCTATTAGTTTAAGACCGCGCGTTCGCGTGTTATAATATTGAAGTGCCGTTTTACTGGCGCGCGGTAGTACTATGCGTATACGCACAGCTATCGCTATAACTCCGAGTTACGGGAATTTTTTCTCGCACTATATTTCCATACACAAGGAGATTAAATTAAATTCTGCTTCTGGAGAATCAATCAAACCAAGTTTAAGACCGCGTTCGCGTGTTATATGTAAGAAAGTACAGTTCCTAGCGCTACGAGTATTATTGCGTAGCGCGTACACACAACTATCGCTATAACTCGCGGTACGCAACATATGACCGTTCCGTACAGGAGATTAAGATTAAATTCTGGCTGGAGAATTCAATCCAGAACCTAGTTTAAGACCGCGTTCGCGTGTTATAATATTAGAAATTACAATGATTCCTAGCTGCGGTGGTATTTGCGTGCGTATACACACAACTATCGCTATAACTCGCGTTGCAGATTTTCTCGCAATAAATTCCAATACAGGGAGATTAAGAATTAAATTCTGCTTCTGGGAGAATCAATCAAACCAAGTTTTGAGCCGCGTTCATTTATAATGTAAGAAAGGTAATTCCTGGCGCTGCGGTATTTGCGTATATGCGTATACACTGGCTATCGGCTATAACTCGCGTTACGGAATTTTCTCACCAATAAATTGGCGGGAGATTAAATTAAGAATTCTGGCGGGAAGGTAATCAAGCTAGTTTAAGACTCCGCGTTCGCGTGTTATAATATTGTAAGAAAATTGCATTCTAGCGCTACGGTATTGTGCGTATATGCGTATACACACAACTATCGCTATAACTCAGTACAGGAATTTTCTCGCACTATATTTTACATACAGGAGATTAAAATTAAATTCTGCTTCACCAGAGAGAATCAGTCAAACCAAGTTTAAGACCGCGTTCGCGTGTTATAATATTAAGAAAGTACAATTCAACGCTACGGTATTGTGCGTGGCATACGCACAACTATCGCTGCCAGCTCGCGTTACGCAATTTTCTCGCAATAAATTCAATACAGGGAGATTAAAGAATTAAGTTCTGCTGGGAGGACTAATCCGAACCCTGGATTTAAGACCACGCTGTTATAATATTAAGAAAGTACAATTCCTAGCGCTACGGTGTGGCAAATATCTCCACTTCTCCCCATAGCTATAACTCGTTTTTGGAATTTTCTCGCAATAATTCAATGGGGTGGAATTAAATTCTTAGCTGGGAAGTCAATCCGACAAGTTTGAACCCGCGTTCGCGTGTTCCATAATATTAAGAAGTACAATTCCTTTGCAGTATTGCGTATATGCGTATACGTATAGCTATACAACTTGCGTGCGTTTTTCACCGTAAATTCCAGCAGGGAATTAAGAATTAAATTCTGCTTCTGGAGGTGTCCAGCCTAGGTTTTAAGACCGCGTTCGCGTGTTTACATAATATTAAGAAAGTACAATTCCTAGCGCTACAGAGTATTGTGCGTATA